TCCTGTTGTACAGAAGAGACCAGGGCAACATTGTCAAGCAATTATTCTCCAATTTAGAAATTTTACAAGGAACTAAAAAAAGACACATGGTATTAACATCACCCCAGAAAAATGACTCCTTTTGTAGTTAGAAGGAAAATTTTTTTTCAGATGTATATCTTTGATATTTATTTTCCTTTCTGGAAGCTATAGGGCTTCCCGGGTGGCTAAGTGGTAATCTGCCTGCCAATGTAGGAGATGCAAGAGATGTGGGTTTGACCCCTGGGTCAGGAAGATCCCCTGGAGGAGGGCGTGGCAACCCACTCCAGTATTCTCGCCTGGAGAATCCCATGGACAGAGGAGCCTGGCAGACTACAGTCCATGGGGTCGCACAGAGTCGGACACAGCCGGAGGACTGAGCGCGCACGCACTGGAAGCTGTGGCTTTCCTACGGAGGCCTGGGGAGGGCCAGTGCGACCTCTGGGGACGACGTTCCAGTGACTCTAAAAATCTGTATATAAAGTAACTTAAAAGACAGATTGAAAAGGAATTCCAAATTCCATAGACTTGCTAACGTGAGATGCTGGAAGACGGGTGTGAGATTAGCAGAGTTTGGAAGGAAAGTTAGGAAAGTGACAGGCAAGGGGACGTGGGGAACTATAGAGGGGAGAGATTTTTCTCTAATTTCCTGGATTACTTTTAATGGTCAAAAAAAATCCACATCTGTTCATTCACTGCAAGAGTTCTTGTAATTTGAGAGCCTTTCAGGAGAGGGGAGGATGGCTGTGGATTTATAGAGTTAAATCTCATGACATGAACACGCAATGGGAGGCCCCACCTGTGTGTACAATGTACTTAAAGGATTAGAGCAAACTTTAGAATTATGATATGTTTTACCTGGAGCAAGTACCTTACTCTTTAAGCTGCTATTTCCTTGAAGGAGGTGGGAGGAAAGAAAACCATGAATTCTCTCAGGTACTCAGGTGCATAAGACTCTGCTTGTGGGATTTAATGAAGATTTAAGTGCAGGTGGATAAAAGATGCATTATTGATATATTTGATTTTAAATCTATTTTCAATACTTGTGATTCCAGTTTCAAGGTGTTGCTTGCCTGTGCCCTGAATGAAGATGACATTTTCAATACAATACAGAGGCCAGGGGGCCAGGGAAGCACTCATCTTCTAAGGGGCTAGTGGGGGTAGAAAGGGGAATTTTTTATTTTTTCTGTCTTGGGTTAAAACTCTATGTGTTCTTTTTTAATGTGAAATTTAAAAACTTTTTTTTTTTTGACTGGAATATAGTTGCTTTAAAATGTTGTGTTAAGGACTTCCCTGGTGACTTGGTGGTAAAGAATCCCCTTTAGGAGACACTGGTTCGATCCCTGGTGTGGGAAGATCCCACAGGCTGTGGAGCACCACACAACGCTATGGCCCGGGAGCCACGCCTACGGAGCCCGTGTGCTGCAACTACTGAAGCCTGCTCGTCCTGGAGCCTGTGTTCCGCAGCAGGAGAAGCCAGCACAGTGAGAACCTCAGACACCGTAACTAGAAATTTCTAGTAGCCCTTCCTTGCTGCAACTGGAGAAAAGCCTGAGGACCAAGGCAGACCCAGCACAGCCCCCACCCCCAAAGACGCCGTGTTAGTCTCAGATGCACAGCAAAGTGACCCAGATATGCGTATACATACGTCCCCTCCTCTTTGGATTTCCTTTCCATTTAGGTCACCACAGAGCACTGGGGAGAGTTCCCTGTGCTATCCGGTAGGTTCTCACTAGTTCACTACTTTATACATTTGTTGGTGCTGTTCAGTCGCTTAGCATTGTCCAACTCTGCGACTCCGTGGACGCATGCCAGGCTTCCCTGTCCTTTACTATTTCCCCAAGTGTGCTCAAACTCATGTCCATTGAATCGGTGAGGCCAATCAGATACATACGAGCATATATACGCCAATGAATTTCAAAAGAAGTGTTGCTTCTTTGGAAGTGGCCCCCATGTTCCCTTCAGGGTCTTCAAGAAATACAAGTAAATACTCAACATTCTCAATTTTTCCAAAGGTATCTCTGGGCTAAAGGAGGTGATTATTAAAATGAGCAGACGTTTCTTTCCCTTCCAGGTGATTAACCAATGACAGAGTGTTGTTGTTATTGTTGCTGTTTAGCTGCTAAGCTATGTCCAACTCTTTTGGGACCCCATGGACTGTAGCCCCCCAGGTTCCTCTGTTCATGGGATTTCCCAGGCAAGAATACTGCAGTGGGTTGCCATTTCCTCCTCCAGAGGATCCTCCCAACCCAGGGATCAAATCCACATCTCCTGCATTGGCAGATGGATTCTTTACCAGTGAGCCACCAGGAAAGCATGTAATAGAGGGAGAAAAGAATGACCATCCTCTGCTATTCACTAAACTGCTAATTTCCATTATTTATTCTCCATAGATTAGTCAGGCAGGTGGAGGGTGGGAGAACACGGTAACGAGAAAGACAAAAAACGAGAAAATCTTTAGGAAGCAGAAAATCACACAGAGATATGTCTAAAAATGACACAGTACTTTATTTTAAAAACACTCAGGTGTTACAAAAAAATACATAGAAAAATAAAGTTTGATTGGGGTATTTGGCTAAACTTTGACTCACAGATTTGTGTATTAACAGATTAGAGCAGAGTTTGTTATACACATGGAGAACATAAACTCTTTTATTAAATAGGATAGACACAGGTCTGGGCCCGGGGTGCACCCTCCAGTGTACCCATCAGGAACGGATCTATTAGCTCTTCAAATGTTGTTCTACCAGTTTGGCTATGGCTGAGTGACTATGGGGGAAACACAAGATGGATTCACCAAACCAAATCATTCTAAACAAAGACTTTTTTTTTTTCCTTTTTGCAACACAATGTACATCACAGTACAATGTTTAACACTTGCAGGTTTGGGGGCTGAAAGAATTCAATGCAGAGGGAGGCAGAGAAAGGGTTCTGACCAGAGAGGGAGCATTGAACACTTAGGACATGTAAGCAGGAGAAAGCCCTGCCTCTGTGCTTCCATTTCTGTGCAGGCAACACGTGGCATTGGACAGTATTTCAGTGTGGAGCTCAAATGATATAAAATGGGGTGAAATGAACCAACCTTCTATCAACTTTGGCAGTTTTGCCACAAACAGTAAATTAGACCTTTTTAATAGGAGGAAATTGAAAGGTTTCTCGCTGAACAAAATTAAGTAGCGGGATCAAGAGATTTCCAGGGCCTGGGGTATCTCATTAGTAACTGACTTTTTTTTCATGCTGATGTCGCCCATCTCCCAGGTCACCTGAGATAACAGAATAAACATGGCCAGAGTTTTCCTGTGCCCTCTTCTCATTCTCTCTGAGGTCACCAGGTAACTCACTTGGGGGGAACCTCCACTTTTTTGATAAGCATTAAACACAGTTCCTGAAACATCTGGACAGTTTCATTGTTTGGTGATGAAAGCTACTATAATGTGTTCTGAAAACGGTTTCCTTTTTTTCTTAGCCTCTTCCAGCAAAGTGCCATCAGGCTCGGCAGCTTGCTCATGGGCGGGGCTTCCTAAGGCCCACGCCCCCTTCCTCCACACCCCGCCCCTCAGCCCTGGATTCCCACCAGACAGCTCCATGGCACCTGACCCTTCACTCTGCGGTGTTCTTCCTTACGTGTGAAAGCTCACTACCTTTTACCTCCTCTGCCTGCAGGGATCCCAGAGGGTTTTGGCTTTGAATTGTAACAGCAGAGCCGCCAGAAAGTCCTATAAAAGCAGCAGTGACCTTCTGCAGCTGTCATGTCTTTAAATAGATTTGGGATTTAATGCTGTATATTTTTAAAGAAAAGACATAAGAATTGTTAGGGTTTTTTTTTAAAATGCATGTCTTTTAGCCAATTCAGAATCTGCTTCCCCACTACTTTTTTTTTAAACCCAGGAAGAGATAAAGCTTTGGTGGGGGGTGGGGGTGCGGGTGGGGGAGACCAGATCTCGAGGCTAAATAAGGAAGGTATATGTTAGGTGCAGTCATAAAAGTCTGGGCTGAAAAAAAGTGCTTCAGTGGGTGACTGCTATGGAAAAGGAACAAAAAATAAAAGCAGGAGGAAAGGAAGGAACTTAAAGAATTATGTGACTGTCCCACTGTAGTATAAATTATAGCCCCCAAACTCCAGGAACCTTCTTATTCTGAATTCTCAAGCCCAGAACAAAAGGTCCAGAAGAAGCTTTTTTTATTTTTTTACCTTTTGCTAAGGACTCCTCCTTGGACCACTGTCGTGGATATACGGAGAGTCTCCTGGCCTGGGCTCACCTCCTGCAATAGAGTTTCGTTTTTATAGCTTGTCTTAAGGCCACAGTGAGTGCTTCTTGTTCTGCACGGGCCACTCTGTAAATACTTAAGTTGGCATATTATTTTAAAAGGAATAATCAGAAGCTTCTGTTTTCATCTCCTCCTTCCCATCTCCATATCCTGTGCTAACTTGTGCTGGGCACGAAAGGTTTCTCTGTGAGGTCCTCTGTTTCCGTCTGTTCCAGAGACAAAGAGAAACCTTGGCTGTGGTCCAAGGCCAGTGAGAGGCTCTTGACCTTCAGTTTATTTCAGTAGGTGACATCCTGAGCCATCCACCGCCTCCCCCTCTGGTGGGCTCCTTCTGAGTGGATGCTCAGTTACACAAGAGGATGGAGTTGGAGGAACAAAATCCTCAGAAGTGATGTGGACAGATCCTGAAAAGTCACCCCAAGTGCTAGAAAGAACACTTGGCTCTATCCCTCCCCACTTCAAGCAGGGGTCTAAAAGCAAAAACGATTCCCCCTTCTATGTTGGGGGAACAATTTGGATATGAAATCATTCCCTGTCCCAAATCTTTCATTGGCCCCCAGTGAAGAATCTGGGATTTCCACACAAACCTCCATGTGTTCTAGTCTGTCTGTCTCTCACTGCCCAGTCCTTCCTGACCCTGGGGCCCTTCCGCCTTCCAGAGGGGCCACCTAGAGAAGACAGTTCTTGATCTAGCATGGATGTCAGAGCTGGTGTTACCAGAAAGCTGGGCTCCAGCCACCCAGGCAGTAAATGTAGGGGTAGTAAGGGTAGGTATTGTGCACGGAGATGAGGGAGCCCTGTGGGAAGCCCTCCTCTTTAAGAGCTGGCAAGGAAGAGTGCTTCTCCAGGTTGCCCAGGTCCGAGGTGAGCTGCTTCCGCTTGGTCTTATAGCGTCTGTTCTGGAACCATATTTTCACTTGGGTCTCCGTGAGCTTGAGGTTCTTGGCCAGGTGAGCCCTTTCAGGGGCTGACAGGTACTTCTGATGGCTGAACTTCCTCTCCAACTCAATGACCTGAGTGTGAGAGAAGGCAGCCCGGGAGCGCTTCTGAGGCTGCTTGGTGGCTGGGGGTAGGCTCTGCAAGGCGCTGGGAGGGTTTTCACAGTCCAGCAGATAAGTCTCTAAGTGCCCATCTGGAAAGGAGAGGGGAGAAGCCGGGAGGGGAAGGAAAACGTTACATGGTAGCAGCAAAGAGAACAGAATTCTGTTTACCCTCATCTCTTCTGAGTGAACAAACAGCCCACTGTCAGTTTGGATACGCTGCACTAAAGAACTCCTTAGTTCTTATGATCAACCTAGACAGCATATTAAAAAGCAGAGACATTACTTTGTCAACAAAGGTCTCTCTAGTCAAGGCTATGGTTTTTCCCGTAGTCATGTATGGATGTGAGAGTTGAACTATAAAGAAAGCTGAGTGCAGAAGAATTGATGCCTTTGAACTGTGGTGTTGGAGAAGACTCTTGAGAGTCCCTTGGGCTGCAAGGAGAGCCAACCAGTCCATCCTAAAGGAAACCAGTCCTGGGTGTTCTTTGGAAGGACTGATGTTGAAGCTGAAACTCCAGTATTTTGGCCATCTCATGTGAAGAGCTGACTCGTTTGAAAAGAGCCTGATGCTGGGAAAGATTGCGGGCAGGAGGAGAAGAGGAAGACAGAGGATGAGATGGTTAAATGGCATCACCGACTCAATGGAGATGAGTTTGGGTAAACTCTGGGAGTTGGTGGTGGACAGGGAGGCCTGGCATGCTGCAGTTCATGGAGTTGCAGAGTCTGACATGACTGAGCGACTGAACTGAACTGAAGAGTTCTAACTCCTGAGAACTCCTTAGGAGTAAGGAGCTCCCTGAGTGGGGCTGCTGGCCAGTCATGTAGATTACGTGTTAGTTTCTTAATAGTCATCAAGTCTCCAAAGTAGGAGAGGCTAGTGCTAGAACTTCCTGCTCTATTGCCCTGTAGAATTAAATAGGGATTCTGTATCTGTCTGGAGGAATGGGAGACGGGAGGCAAGAAAGACTGAGAAATAAGATACCAGTAAAGTAGGGCCCCCAAGGCATCCAGAGGGGCATCCAGAGTTAACATTTGGGTGACATGAGAAGGCTACTGTGGTAGGAGAGTTCATTCTCTGGCTTTAATCCCCTTTTGCTTCCCTTGTGGCTCAGCTGGTAAAGAATCCACCTGCAATGTGGGAGACCTGGGTTCAATCCCTGGGTTGGGAAGATCCCCTGGAGAAGGGAAAGGCTATCCACTCCAGTATTCTGGCCTGGAGAATTCCATGGACTGTGTAGTCCGTGGGGTCACAAAGAGTCGGACATGACTGACTGACTTTCCCTTCACTTTCCCTCAATGAACCGTTTCTCTCTCTCTCTCTCTCTGCACAGTCATGTCCAAACTCTTTGCATCCCCATAGACTGTAGTCAGGCTCCTCTGTCCAGTGGGATTTGCAGTGAGCCACTGCCTTACCTCCTAGGAAGGGTGCCTACTGTATGGTGAGGATGGATACCTAGACTTATTGTGGTGATTACCTTGTAGTGTATACAAAGATCAAATTATTATGTTGTACATCTGAAACTAGTAACATATTATGTACCAATTTGACCTCAATTAAAAATAACTGATGGGAAAAAAAATAAGTCTACTCTAAATGTTCCCATGAGGTTATATAGCTCCTGGAGACCAGAGGGGCTCCTTGACTTACTAGTTTGTTTTATTTTTGGCGGGGGGAGGGGGCTTATGTGGACCATTTTTGAAGTCTTCATTGGAATTGTTACAATATTGTTTCTGTTTTCTGTTTTTTTTTTTTTTTTTTTTTTTCTGTGATCTTAGCCCCTCTACCAGGGATAGAACCTGTACCCCCTGCGTTGGAAGGTGAAGTCTTAACTGGACCCCCAGGGAAGTCTCCAAGACTTATTGTGTTTTATTGCCCATGGGACTGGGAAGCAAAGGGCATCTTTGCTGATCAAACCCTGACTTATTAATATATTATTTATCAATAACTCGTTATATGTTAGTTATTGTAATCCCCAAGAGATAACTGGGGCTGGCGAGGATCAAGGGTCGAGCGGTGGCTGGGATTGGTGTCGGGGTTTCCATCTGGGACTGGAGCGCGGTGGGCGCTGTGTGCGTGCTCACCTTTTAGCCCTAGGCACCAAGAACCCGCTGCGCGGGGCACTTCTGCGGGGCGAATCAAGTTCATGTCTAAATCCTGCGCAGCCCTGATGCCGGGGCTCAGGGTTAAGCTCCGAGGCTCGCCCGTGGCAGAGGCCGTGAAGTCCCTTCGCCTGTCGCCGCGGGGCCCCGCAACCCTGCCGCCGGAGCTCCGGGGGGTCCGCCTAGCACCTGTGGGCCTGCCCATTTTTCCTGGGGGCACCCAACCCGGCCCAGCCCGGCCTCTCCAGCCTCGCCTGCTTACCTGGTTCGGTCTCCACCGGCTTCTCGGCCTCCTCGCTCCCGGCGCGGGGCTGGTCGTTCTGCTGGTCCTCCTGTGCCCTGGCGCCGCCTCTTCCTCCCTCGGACTCCGGCATCGGGTCTCGCCTCGGGTACTGCTGACGCGAAGGCTGCAGCTGTGGGATGCCCGCGTGACCTCCGCGCCGGTCAGCGCCGTCCCGAAGGATGTCCTGGATGAGGAAGGAGGTGAGTGGCTTGGTCTGGGTGGGCGGCACAGCCGGGGGGCTGCAGCCCGCGGCCCCCGCGTTCCCCGGCCATGGCTCGGGAGTCCGGAGCATCCCAGCGTCTTGGCCCCGGCGCCAAGCCCTCAGGCCCCAGATGCAGCGCCGAAGCTGTGCCCGCCGCTCCCGCACCACTTTCACTTTCCGCGGCCCCGCGCACTTATAGCCCTTGGGGCGCGCCGCGCCGCCTTCCCATTGGCCGCACGCCCGAACCGCGCAGCTGATTGGCCGCCCGGCGCTCCAGGTGAACGAAAAGGGAAGTCCCATGCACAGTCTCGGTCCAGTCTTTACCATAAAGGATTTCTTTCACAAGTTCCTTCTTTTTCAGGATCCCGGCTCGTTTTACCAGTCTGGGAGAGAAAACCAAAGCGGATCTCCTTTGCTCCAACCCACAATGTTTAGCTGCTTCTGGGGAATCATGATGCAGAAGAGAAATACTCTATTTAGCTCTTAGAGATTGTTAAAGTGCCTTTGCGTGCGTGCAGAGTCGTGCAGTCGTGTCCGACACTTCGTGACCCCCATTGACTGCAGCCCGCCAGGCTCCTCTGTCCACGAGGATTCTCTAGGGAAGAATGCTGGAGTGGGTTGCCATGTTTTCTTCCAGGGAATCTTCTCAACTCAGGGATGCAGCCCAGGTCTCCCGCATCGCAGGCGGAATCTTTACCATCTGAGCCACTAGGGACCCCAAGAATACTGGAGTGGGTAGCCTATCCCTTCTCCAGGGAATCTTCCCCACCCAGGAATCGAACCGGAGTCTCCTGCATTGCAGGCGGATTCTTCACCAGCTGAGCTACCAGGGAAGTCCAGAGTGCCTTTAGTCACAAAGAAGTAGATGGGGCAGTTTCCTTCATCCCACCTTACAGATGAGAATTCTGGGTGCCCGTCAACAAGGAGACATCTACTAAATCTAAGGCTGTCAGAGAGACATGACAGCTAAGTGCAGGACCTGACCCCTGGCTGAATTCTCTCTTGCACTTTATTGGGACAGTCGATGAAAGTGGTAATAAGACCAGTGGCTTAAAGTGCTCAATCAGTGTTGCATTTACTGAAATTACTAACAGTACTGTGATTGTATCAAAGAATATTTTTGGGAACTAATCACTAAAGTATGTAGGGGCAAAGACCCATAATGTATGTAACTTACCATCAATTGGTTCAGAACCAATGATATAGATAAATTCTATATGATAAAGTGAATGGTTTAAAAATATTAATTGGTGGATCCAGAGAAAGGCTATATCGATGTTCTTTTGAACTATTTTTATATAAGCAACTTTTCTGTGGGTCCTAGTCTAAGACAGCTTTCATTCAACTTAAAACTTTTCAGGATCATATTTTTTTTAATTTAATTTTTTTCCCATTTATTTTTATTAGTTGGAGGCTAATTATTTTACAACATTGCAGTGGTTTTTGTCATACATTGAAATGAATTAGCCATGGATTTACATGTATTCCCCATCCCGGTCCCCCCTCCCACCTCCCTCTCCACCCCATCCCTCTGGGTCTTCCCAGTGCACCAGGCCCAAGCACTTGTCTCATGCATCCAACCTGGGCTGGTGATCAAGATCATATGCTGTGTGTCTGGGAAGGAGGGAAAGGAAGCAGGTTATCATGGATTAAGCAACTGCTAAAGAGAACCACACTCTACAATAGGAAGGTCTTTGGCAAAGATAGTTTTCTTTTCTCATTTTTTCATTTAAAAAACTGTTACATTTTCTTTTGAAATAGTTATAAATTCCTAGGAAGCTTCACAATTAGCACTCCTAATTTCCCCCAGTGGTGACATATAACTGTAGTATAATATTAAAAAACAGGAAATTGACACTGATACACACCATTAACTACACTACAGACCTTATTTTATTTTCACCATTTAAAAAGCCTGCATTCATGGGTGTGTGTGTGTTTGTGTCTGTGTGTGTGTAGCTCTATGCAATTTTATCACATGAATAGATTCTTGCAAAGCCAAAATCAAGATACAGATTGTATTTTTCCAAAAAACACCACCATACACGCACACAAAACCACCGTGATTTAGAATTTTACCAACATTATTACTTATACATCCTCTTTTACATTAAATATTCATTTTGTCTTTTTCTGTCATACTCAAAATTCTATTTTGACTTTATTATCTGCACATCTTTGTAAATGGTGCAACTTTGTAAATGGTGTTTGTCTTTAATTGCATGATAAAAGTAAAAAAAAAAAGATATAGAATTGTTCCGTCACCACTAAAGTATTCCCTGTGCTATCTCTTTGCTTTTGTGTACCCAAGCCCCTTCTCTCCGTAAGGCACCTCTGGTAACACTAATCTATTCTATATAATTTTACTACCAGGAGAATATTCTATAAGTGGAATCAAACATCATACAGCATGTGACCTTATGGAATTGGGTATTTTTTGCTGAGGATGATGCCTCTGAGGCCACTCAGACTCCTGCATGTATTAATAGTCAATTTTAAAATTGCTGAATAGTATTCTATTCAGTATGGATCTGCCAGTTTGTTAATCATCCACTCACTGAAAGACAAATGATTTATGTCAGGGTTTTTTTTTTTTTGTTTTGTTTTGTTTTGCTCTGTTTTGCTATTTTGAATGAAAGTGTTGTAGACATTCATGTACAGATTTTTGTATAAACATGATTTTTCATTTCTCTCAGATGAATGTTCAGGAATGCAATTGCTGGGCCATATGGTAATTACATGTTTAGTTTTGTAAAAACTGCCAAACTATCTTTCAGAGTGGTTGTACCACTTTTTTATTTCCACCAGCAATGTATGAGTTCCACTTTCTCCACATCCTCATCAGCATTTGGTGTTATTGTTATTTCTTATTTTAGCCATCCTAATAAAAAAGAAAGCTGAGCACTGAAGAATTGATGCTTTTGAACTGTGGTGTTGGAGGGGACTCTTGAGAGTCCCTTGGACTGCAAGGAGATCAAACCAGGACAATGCTAAAGGAAATCAGTACTGACTATTCATTGGAAGGACTGATACTGAAGCTGAAAGTCCAATACTTTAGCCACTTGATGCTAAGAACTAACTCATTAGAAAAGAATCTGATGCTGGGAAAGATTGAAGGCAGAAGGGGACGACAGAGGATAAGGTGGTTGGATGGCATCACTGACTCGATGGACATGAGTTTGAGTAATCTCTGGGGGTTGGTGATAGGGAGGCCTGGCGTGCTGCAGTCCATGGGGTCGCAGAGCTGGACATGACTGAGGGACTGAACTGAACTGAATAAGTGTATAGTAATAGCCCATTGGGATTTTAATTTTTAATTTGTATTTCCCAAATGGCTAGTGATGTTGAAAATCTTTTCATGTACTTTGCCTTACATATCTCCCCTTTGGTGAAATATCTGTTCAACTCTTTACACATGTTGTAATTAAATTTGGGGGGAGTTGTTGTTGACTTTTGATAGGTTTTTTTTAATGTATTCTATGTATGTGTTTGTTGAATATGTGATTACAATTATTTTCTCCTAGTCTGTAGCTTGTCTTTCCATCTTTTCAACAGGATATTTCATAGAACAAAGGTTCTTTATTTTGGTGAATTTTTATTTTACAAATTTTGTTATTGTAAGCCTAAGAACTTTTATTGTAAGTCTAAGAACAAAGCCTAAGAACTCTTTGCTTATTCCTAAGTCTAAAGATTCACTCCTGTGTTATTGTCTAGAAGTTTTAGGTTTTACTTTTAAATTCATGATTCATTTGACTTATTTTTTGCATATGATATGATATTTAGGTTGAGTGGCCTCTTTTCACTTTTAAAATTTAGAGTGGGGTGGCATTTCAAATCAGTGTGGGGAAATGTAAATTATTTAATAACCAGTACTGCCACTTGGAAAAAATAAAGTTCTATTCTTATAACAAAATAAACCCTAGATGGCTCAAAGATTTAAAACATAAACAGGCACAGGAGAAAAAAATAGTTTAACCACACTCATCATTTTGGATATACAAATCAAAACCACATTTAGATACCTTCTTTCCACCTATCAGATCAATAGAGATTAGAAAGATGCATGATGTCTAGTGTTTGTGGGTGAATGAGGAAGAGTTGCTCCCATACTGTTGAAGAGTAAGTCAGTTTTGTATATTTGGATACCAGCTTGGCAAAATCTGTCACTATTAAAACTGGGCGTATCCTATGACACAGATATTCCATGCTTTGAGATTTACCCTGTGCTGTGCGGGGCTGGGCTTAGTCGCTCAGTCATGTCCAACTCTTTGCAACCCCACGGACTGTAGCCCGCCAGGCTCCTCTGGCCACAGGGATTCTCCAGGCGAGAATACTGGAGAAGGTTGCCATGCTCTCCTCCAGGTAGTCTTCCCAACACAGCGATGGAACCCAGGTCTCCTGCACTGCAGGCGGATTCTTCACTATCTGAGCCACCAGGAAAGCCCAAGATTTACCCTAAAGATCTACAAATACACGACATACTGACTTGGGAATGTGTCCTTAATTTGGTCAGTGTGAGATTCAACTCGAAAAAAAGTTATAAACTGAACTCATTGTGTAAAAAAAAAAAAAAGGAGTCACCAGTTATCCATAGAATATTTTACATTTGAGCATTTTAACATTCAGAAAATTCTGGAAGAGTATAAATATCTCAATAAAGCAGTTTCAGTTTCCTCTGGTCAGTGAGATGGAGATAGCAGATTGGGAGAAGAGGAGTAGAACAGAGTGCATTTCCTTGTACTGATTATAATTTTTAAAATTAAAAACTGAGAGCCAGAACTGAGCTTGGGCTCCTTTCTTCCATCACCTCTTCCTCAGATATCAGGTGTCCCTTCAGGATGGGGACACAGCCCCAGCACTTTCTTTTACATCGCTTCACATGTGCTCCTTTGGTGCTTAGTATTTCAGATGTTTTCCTTGTTTGTATAGTGATGAGTATCCCTGCCTGTCATGCAGGAGACTGAGGTTCGATTCCCCAACAAGGAGGCGGGAACTTCCCTGGTGGTGCAGTGGTAAAGAATCTGCCTGCCAATGCAGGAGACGTGAGTTCAGTCCCTGGGGCAGGAAGGTCCCCTGGAGAAGGAAAAGGC